CCCGCTTATTTTTCACATCTCTAAACCTTCTGCACTTGGTCAAGCTAAAGTACGCTTTACACTCAGTCTGTACAGATCGATTTCACAATGTTATCAAGTGCCTATCAGCCCCATTTATAGACACCCGTACAAATATTTACAGTGTGCCCGCCGTGACACGTCTGGCCCTCCACAGCAAATGTCGAGTTCCAGCCCTGCCCAAATGCACACACACTCCGTCAGCGCAAAAAGAGCCTGTGTTCTGTCAGTCCAAAAGGGAACATATGTTTCTTTCTTTTCATCGTTGGAGAGAGAGAGAATGAAGAGAGGGAGGAAAGGAAGGAAGCTGGGCGTATCAGTTGATCAGTGTAAGTATGAGAGCTGAAAGTGTGCTGAGAGGGCCTCTGTGTACACACTCCACTCACAGAAAGTACGGACTCGAATGAACGATGACGATAGCTGTGCTGTTTATATCACATTATTTATTGAGCAGGATAGTTTTACACTATTTAAGAGTGCCAGTGAAACTGTAAGTAATGCTAAACAGAGCAGGACGTGTTCCAAATGGGTCAAGTTGAGGAAGACGTTAATATTAAAGGGTGCAAAAACGAGTTTTATTGTTTGTAGTTGTTCTTTTTACTGGCAAAAAATAGTAATTGTCTGTTTGCATGTCAGTCTGCACATTTGTGGTGTAGATTAGTTCATTGCATCTGTCACATGATGAAAGAAAGAAATGAGAGGTGAACTAGTCATTTATGTTTCTTAGAATTTATCATTAGCTGCATTTTTATGATTTCCTAATTTGGAATATGATGAAAGATTGTTTTTGAACTTGTATGGGGAATTTGGCTTTTGAAAATATAACATTTCACTCCGTTCAAACTAAATGACTTGAATTAAGATTTGTTCATTTTGCTGCACAAGGCAGAACGAGAGTTGGTAAAATGATCTTGAATTATTCTGAAAATCTCAAATTAATCTGATCTTTCCATCATTAATGTAGATTCTATCATTTTTTCTACAAGTTTCATTGTTAGGACAGGTGGCGAGTGAGTCATTGAATCATTCAATGAGATGATTCATTCAGAAACGGATCAAGTAACTTTCTTTATGAGTGTTCATTGAATCAGTTTCTCAACCAGTTCATACCAAAACATTGATTAAATCAGGCACCAATTCAAGTGACTGTCTTTATGAATCATTGACCCTGACAGATAAATGATCTGTTTTCATGATATGAATGATCTGATTCACACACACACACACACACACACACACACTACTTTTGCCAAATTACCATTTCAGTAATTATTAATCTAATTTCACCTATCACATGAAAAATAACACATACCCTAACCCATGCTAAAAATATATATATAATAAATGAAGATGAGATTTTCATAGCATTTAGGGCTGTATTATAAGAGATTATAAGAGTGGTGTATATGCATATTGTGTATATCATAAAATGTATCTGTTGCAGTTGTGTTGAGTTCATCCCAGACCATTTCCCCATGACATGTGTGTATGTGTGTGTATGAGAGGGGTCCACTTATTATTAATTAGTGTGTCTGTGTGTTCTGTGGTTATGATATCATTCTCACAAAAAGTCAACATTCCTGTCTAAGTGCCCCTTACCTATGAAATATTCATTCATCCATAATAATTCAGACAGGGTGAATGTAGACAGGGCAGATGTAGGGTTTGACCCCACAGGCATCCAGGAGAGAAACTGCCCACGCTAGCGCTTGAACAGAAAGAGTTTAAGCATAAAACTTTTCAAACTGCATTCAGAAAATATACAGTATGCCATACTATAGTGACTCACAGTAAGATTACAGCTTTAACATGAAACACTTAGTAAAAGTTAGTGCCTGAGGCTGAAAATGTCATATAAATGTCATATATACCTCAGAAGCTGCAATAGAGAGATCTCAGTTGTTTTGCATTTAAGCATCAACTTTGTTTCAGATTTTCTACTGAAATGTATTGACACAAACGAGACCTACAGAAAGAGAAGATCTAGAAAATGAATGTGGATAGCAGCTCAGATCGTTTGATGAGAAATTTAATTGATGTTTGATTGCACTTATGAGATTTCTGCAGTCCTTTTTACAAGAAACATTTGGAGAATAAAAGTCTCTATTTGCTTTTCACACTGAAGAAAAATATAAAGGATTTCATTTTTCACAAGAAATTGCCTATCAAATTAAATGTTATGTTATTTTGAAATAGAAAAATAATTTTACAGTTCATTTAGTCTCATTTCAGTCTAGGAGAAACAACTAAAAATTCATACACAAACCAAAAAAGTACAGAAAAAAGGCTAGTTACCATTTAAATCAAATCAGAGAGGGAGACAGCAGCAACAAATGGAGGGAACGATAAACTGACAGAAATATTACCCCGGGGGTACAGAAATGTGGAGTGATGTATTGCCCTTGGGTGAAAGAGAGGGCAAGAACACACAAAATCCATATCACAGCGTCTGTTATCCCTCTATATCTGAATAAAATATTCAAATACAGCCATTACTCCACATTAAAAACCACAAAATGTTCACATGTTCCTCACACACGCCACCGATAGTCACATTAAACTCATCCATTAGAGCTGACCAGACTACACATATGATAATGATGATGATGGTGTGTGTGTGTGTGTGTGTGTGTGTGTGTGTGTGTGTCTGTGTTTACTGTCTGTAATAAACACACACACACACACACACTCACAGCAAGGTTTTTCTTGGTGATTTCCTCTGTGGATGAGTCACGACTGAGTACACAGCTCTGTCTGAAAGCCATAAGCTCTTTTCCAGACCCTTTTTACTCAATATTTGTGTATTTCTATGCTTATTAGAACAGGATGTTGTTAGCTTTGTGAAACACTGATGTCAAACTTTATTAGGATCATTTTAGTGTGTTTGCTCCTGTGTGAATTGTTGTCATTGCAAAGTGTTTCAAAACAGGTTCCATAAGTCAGTTAGGAAGCTGTCTTAGAAAGCTGCTGCCTTTGCATTTTAGTGAGTTTATTTTTAATTGTTATATGGAAATTATTTATTTATTTATTTTAAAAAATATATATATATTTTTAAATGTGAAATTATTTTTTAAATACATTTTATTTATTTCACTTTTTTCCTTTTTTACAAAGAGAAGGGGTGTGTTCTTTAAAATTAATATTATGCAAATTAATCTATTTTGTTTCTGAATGCTACATATATGAAATTGTTTGCACTCTATTTACTGCATTTGTAGCACAATGTCAGTTACTACGGAAAATAATTTCAACTTATCCTACTGTTTTTATTTTTTATTTTAAAAAAGCAAATACATTTTTAAAAAGACATTGTACCCCACTGTTCAAAAGTTTGGTGTCAGAATGATTTTTATTTATTTTATTTTTATTTTTTATTAATACTTTTATTCAGTAAGGATGCATTAAACTGATCAAAAGTGACAATAAAGACATTTATAATATTACATACAATTTTGATTTCAAATAAATGCAGTTCATTTGAACTTTCTATTCATCAAAAAAAGTATCCCAGTTTCAACAAAAAATATTAAGCAGCACAACACTTTTCAACATTTTTTATGTAATTTTTTTAACAACATGTTATTTGAAATTGTAATAATATTTCACAATTTTGCTGTTTTTACTGTATTTTTAATCAAATAAAAATCTTACCAACCCCAAACTTTTAAATGGTAGTGTACGTGTCGTTATGAATTTCCTTACAGCCTTTGCCTGATATACAATCTTTTAACTTCAGTAATGCCTTTAAAACTTCCACAAAATATGTGCATGATAACAGAAAGGGGATGTTTACATGGAGAAACTCCACTCACAGAAATCACCTCAGTAATAAATAACCAGAAAGTGCATGTGCATAAACAAAATGACCGGACAATGTTATGTTACATGTTTGTTTGTTTTTCCTGTATTAGTCATTAAAGTTTCAAATTTCATCTTTCAACTGACACAGGCTTGATTTACTATAAACGTTCATGAAAAAAACGAGCAAAAAATTAGATGTTCTGGTTCATTGTGCCACCATCATTCTGATTTGTTATGGTTAACTTTTATTGGGATATTGCATTACTAAAAACCCACTGCATTTCTCTCCATCTCTGTGCAGGTCACCGCATGAAGCCGGACGACCCTCATAAGCAGTTCTCCGATCGCCTGAGTGACATCGAGCGTTTCCAGAGGGCCGGTCTGAGGATGAACCCTGGCAACGGGACCACCCGCTCCCACCAGACCCATTACAACCCCTGCAGCACCACACCGATACCAGGTGCGTGTTTTGTCCCTGGATGCCCTACAGATCCAGTGTGTGTGTTTGCTTGATTCAGACGTTCAGACTCGTCACAACAACTCGCACCTCGACGTCTGGAATCTAGCAACCCCTCTCGATCTCGGCTCCCACGTCACTGTGTGTGATAGTGGCTGAGGATACGTTTTCAGATGCAAGTAAAGACGTTTGAGCATGATGTCTGCTAGCAAACCAGCAAAACGCTCACACTCTCAAAGGCACGTATGCACTTCGCTCGCAGTCTATGTTTCTATTTTCAAATAGACATACACACCCAGGTAGATTTCACACCCCACCCGTAATGCCGAAATGTGCTTCTTTTATTCATTTCTGTTTGCTCACCGTTTCTGCAGCGTGGACTGAATCACTCACATTTCAAAAGAACTCAGACCGGTGTGTGTTTACAGTCATGTGACTCACATTTCAATCAAACGCTCATCTAAGATCAAGAGCCTCAAATGAGTTTGATTTAGTTCCTTCGATCATTCGGGTCATAAACCTACGAATTTATTCCGAGCTGGATACACAGTGAAATCTTGTATATCAAACGTCTGATATGTTTTCATTGGCTTTTATTTAGTCATTTCGTTAAACAATTTCGCCGTTTTTATTTGTTCTTGTTTGCTCACTGCATCTGTCGTGTAGGCAGAATCACTCATCTTTCGTAAACCTCAAACAGAGTTGGCATGTGTTTACGATTATCTAAGCAGTCGTGACTCATATCTCTCTGCGATCAATCAAAAAGCGAGAAAGACCAAATGCACCCGAGGGTCAAATCACGTCCCGCTGCACATCTTTCATCTTTTTTTCAGTCTTTTGACCATTCGCAAATCCATAGTCGAACCTAATCCTATGAATTTATTCCTTACTTCTGTAAGTTCGTTAGTTCTGATAGCATGTTAAAACTAGATGCTGTGTACAGCATTCATTTTGTCAGTCACTTAGTTTCTATTTCTGTCAGGTCATGTTAGGTAGCTCCACCCATTATATATATATATATATATATATACGAAAAAATTGTTTTTTAATGTTTTTGAAAGAAGTCTTTGCTCACCAAGGCTGCATTTATTTGATCAGTAAAAACAGTAAAATTGTAAAATATTATTCCAAGTTAAAATTGCTATTTTTGGTTTTAATATACTTTAAAATGTAATTTATTTCTGTGATGACAAAGCTGATTTTTCAGCAGCCATTACAGTCTTCAGTGTCACATGATCCTTCAGAAATCATTCTAATATGCTGGTTTAGTGCTCAATGATATGATTTGATGCGGTTAATATTTTTGTGTAAAATGTGATAATATTCTTTCAACATTTTTGGATGAATAGATAAAGTTCAAAACAACAGCATTTGTTTAATCAAATCTTTTTACATATTTTTTAACGTGCCTTTACTTATACTTTTAATCAATTGAACGCATCCTTGCTGAATAAAAGTAAACATTTTTATACATATAAACAACAGATATATAATTTTGTTGTTTTGCAAGGCCTTACAAAATATAACTTGTGTCTGGTTAGGACATGATGTAATGGTCAACCGGAACCCGTAAAAATGTGGTTACTTTCGTAACGTTCATTATTGATGAGCAGTTTATCCACAATGAGCCAGTGAATTAGAGGCACTGAATGTTTCGCTAGTGTTTTTGTTTGGGGTTTTTGGTAAATTCCTCCATCAGATTGACCTGATTTCTGAAGGGTGGACGCTTACACAAGCATTCCTGCAAAACCAAAGCCGTGACTCATGCAGAGCTCAGAGCGAGAAGAATGGGAGATTTACTCTTACCGCGTCAGGAGTGCGCTTGAGCTGGTAAAGCACATCTAGTATCCGTATCTGCAGGTGGATTAGGAGAGGAATTATGTCTTCATGGTGCTGTCAGAGACCAAGACTGCCGACACACACACATCTGAAGCAGACATAACACATTAACAGAGCTTTAGCTGTCGGGAGACTGCGTGTCTGTGACTGCTGTAGGCCTGTGTGAGTGTGTGATACATCAAAACCTCACTGTTATGTCTGATATTAGCATAGTTATCTCTCACCTCAGGGCACTGTCTCTCTGGGTGTCTGTCTCTTGCGTCGGCCCAACTTCACCTTTATGCCTAAGTCTTAAAACACACACACACACATTCAGTCAGACAGCTCTGTGTGGTATGAGGTTTGCAGACAGACATGTGTAAGATATAGACATGTTTAATCAGATTTATCACACTCATCACAGGGTAATTAGATGGTCTCTCATTCCACCTGAATGATGCAAACTCTGTGTGTGTGTGTGTGTGTGTGTGTGTGTGTGGTGTTGATTGCATCATCCTGGAGTCTTGAGGTTTGCAGATTGTTGATGACTGTAAACAGATATTAAGTTACAAAATTCACAGCACAAACACCGACATGGTTCATACTTAAACAGATTTGTCAAAGCACACAGTACGTACACACACCTATTGTCATGCTGGTGGAGCAGGGAGGCAAATTAAAGTTGGCTTTAGTTGACTTGCAGCGACACGCTTCAGACAGGAATAAAACGAATGAGGAATAAATGAAACAAAAACACAGAGGGAGTTTAATGAAGAATCTAAAAGCACACAGAGCGCATAGAGGTGCGGGCAGAGCTGTGTGGTGTTTATTCATGCGCTCATGCATATCCCACATACTGCAGAACAGACATGCACATCAGATATGTCTGTGCAAAAGATTAATTATTTTGCATAAAGACAAGGAAGTCTACTTTATGGCAAATTTTTTTGCGTTGTTGCAGATTTTATGGAATTCTCTGCCTAAAACGACATGTACTACTTAAAAAATGTTTTATGCATTATTATTTAAATATGTTTAAATAATCACGTTATTATATTAATATAAAATATTGTTTTATATAAATTATATTAATTAAATGTTTTGTTTAATATTTGTTCTTATTGTAAAATATATTAATTAATTTCTAGATTAATTTATATTAATTAAATAATCATGTTATTTTATTAATATAAAAAATATTATTTATATTTTTATGTCTAAATATAACACATTTGTGAATTGTAAAGTATATGACATTACAATAATGAGAATGGAGGTAAATGTGCTTAATTGTCATGAAAATAGTGTCACAAAAATGGTCTGAATGGTTTTTTCAGTCAGTGAACAGGTTTCAATCTGAGACTACACATGTGTGTGGACTTCAGAGAGTGTTTGAGTGTTTTAAGGAGGTGTGGCGGAAGATCTGACAGGAAAACCAGACTTCATGGTGGCTGTGTTTGTTTTTGCTGGTTCTGAGGAAAGCCTGCATTTCCACTCAGCGTTACACAGCTTCTCTCTCTCTTACTCTCTATTCTCTTCTGTCCACAATCATACTATTTCAATGAGCAATATCTTTTTGAGTATATTTGATTTTTTTTTTTTATTATTGCTATATATTTACATTATATATACTTAAAATAATATATATGTGTCAATTAGTATGACATAATTAACTAATGACATCAGAATGAATCATAATTTAGGTAACTGAGTGCTAAACACCAATATGAACAACACCATCTATGTAAATACATCACAACAGGGTATTCCAGTGAACCAGAAAATCATTTATTTGATCAGTTAATCAATCATTTGACAGAAATGAACTGATTCACTAGAACAAGCTAATTTAATCGTTCAGGTCCCGTACTCAGAATTAGTGCTCTGCATTTATCCCATCCAAAGTGCACACACACAGCAGTGAACACACACACACCGTGAACACACACCTGGAGCAGTGGGCAGCCATTTTATGCTGCGGCGCCCGGGGAGCAGTTGGGGGTTCGATGCCTTGCTCAAGGGCACCTCAGTCGTGGTATTGAAGGTGGGAGAGAGCGCTGTACATTCACTCCCCCCCACCTACAATCCCTGCCGGTACGAGACTCGAACCCACAACCTTTGGGTTACGAGTCCGACTCTCTAACCATTAGGCCACGACTTCCCCCCAAAGTTGTTGTTCAACATTGCTACTTTTAGTTAGCTTCAGCCCAACATTAGTCCACTCAGAGATGCGCAAATCTCACATATTGTCCTGCTCACAGACTGTTTCTGTGACATGCTGCTTTAATAGTGGTAGAAATCTGTCTGTTATTGACTTTGTGTATCAGCCAATCAAAATATTTGAGTGAGATGTTTATTTTCAGCAGAAGCACCAGCTGTGGCCTGAATAAGAGCATTTATACTGAAGAATTTATCATTGTGCGGCGAAAACCAGTGAGAGACTGAGAACAGTGTGTTATTAGTGGTGTTTGCTAAGACAAGCATCACTGTTACTACTGCTCGTGCTTACGGTTATAGGGATTTATTCAGGCCCCTTACCTCAACTATTAAACTTTGGCATTACAGACATGAATGATATTTCAAATTTAAAAAGAAAAATCCCATAGACTTGCTTTTGTCTTGGACTAGTAGTGAACCACCCTAGAAAACACACACTACGTTTTGCATGGACAAGCACCGCTCACATTTTTCTCAGAAAATGTAAAAATCTACTCGCATATGTCTCATATCTCATATGTGTATGTGTGTTTGTCGCAACGATTAGCTTGTAACAACTATCTCATCTCGGTCTGAGAGCAAACAGGATTTATTTGCATGTCAAATTGGCAGTTCAGTGCACTGACGCGCACACACACACACAAACATACTCTATAATTCCCAAAGTATCTTATTTTAGACTCATGCAGTGTGTGTGTGTGTGTGTGTGTGTGTGTGTGTGAGAGAGACAGCTGCGTTTTAATGCTGACAGAGTGTTTTAAAGCGTTCGGATCATACACACATACAGGCGTCACACGCTCGAGATAAGATATGTGATAATCACACACACCTTTAACAGACACCCAAAATATCATTCCTCGTGACACACTGATACTTTTCTTGGCTGATCAGCAAAACAGAAAGATTTTAGTTATCTACTCACACACACACACACTTTTGACAGATGGAGTTCTAACGTGTGAGTGTGTGTGTGTGTGTGTGTGTGTGTGTGTGTGTGTAATGTGACACCAGCATAAGATTTCATATTTGTTTTTCTCGGCACCTTTGATGAAAACACTAGCATTGAACATATGTGTGGACAAATTCATTGTGTCGCAATCCTACAAACACACACACACAGGGCTGGGTGGCATATCTAATAATCACTGTATATGCATGATGATTTTGCTGCCAAAATGAAATTAAAATTAAACAACAGCATCTCTGGTTTACACTTCATTAACAAAAATGGCATTGTTCAGACTACGTCCATGAATCAGTTTAATAATCTGAATCAGCTGTTCGTTTCATTCAGTGAACTGATTCAACAGTTCGTTTTATCATTCAAAAAGGTTTACAATGTTTACAATTAAAAATCTGTTGTATTGCTGCATGTAACAGCGTTTCAGAGATATATAATATTGAGAAATTTCTTTTAACTTTATTGCACAGTGCTTTATTATTTATTGCATTAATGCATATTTTATTTAGGTAAATTTCTGTTTGTTATCTCTTGCTACATATAAATGAATTTTTTTATTAATTTTATTAATAATATTTGTGTTCATTTACAGCAACTTTAAAGAGCTAATACATAAATATTAATATATATATATATATATATATATATATATATATATATTTGTTTGATATATTTCTA